ACCAGCATTATGGATAAGTTATACTGGCAGAGAAGGGAAACAGAGAAGAGACTCACAGAGTTGATCGCTTTCTGTATCCAGTTTGCCTAATACATATGTTGATCTGTTGTGTGTATGTGTTGTCTGGTGAGTTTAAAGGAAAAGGTTCAATAAGGGAAAGAAGAAAAAAAGCAAGATTTATCAGCTGGTATGCAAGAATCTCGTGGACTGATCATCTTCCCTGCTATTTTGTATTTCCATTTGCCAACAGATCCCCCTTACGAAGAGACTCTCAATGTCACCAGAGAAAATTTCAGTGGTGTTTTGCGCATCAATGCTGTTGGCTATTTATCAGCAGCGAAGGTCAGTGATTCCAGTCATGAACAACAACCGAGCATGAGCATGTCAGAACTACATACCTGGCAGGGACCCAATGGATCAATGAGTCCAGCTCCTTGTCAAGGTGGCACCATGGGGGAAATCAAACCCCCAATCTCTGTCAAAGCCTCCTTTATATCATGTCAGAATGTAGATTCATGTAGCTAGTTGTACTCCACAGCAGCCTTCCTCAATTTGGCTTCCTTCAGAGCTAGGCGAGGCCACAACCACCATCATTCCCAACTGGCTGGAGATGGTGGGAGTTTTTGTCCCACATAGTTGGAGGGTATTCAGGCTCAGGATAGTGGAATTATGTTGAGCAGGGCTGACTTCACGAGTGGGCAAGATGGATGGCCACCCTGGGCATTGAGCCGGGTGTGTGTGTGTGCGCCAAACTAAATAAATTAAATATACAGTAATATTAAAACCTAGTACCAAAGAACAGTACCAAAAACGCAGTAAAAGCAACAGAAATGCAACCATCCCATTTTAATAACTAACACTGCGCTCTCCTTTTGTGAGACCTCGGAGAAGCTACCAGAGATAGCTGCAGCTGTCTGCCTAAGCATAAAGCCGACCCCATTGATTGGCTAAATGGGTCAGTGGCCTAATGGGATACTGGTTAGGTTCCTATAGCAGTGTAATATGTCTTGGTCACAGTTTCTTCATGCACTGGCGTATAGTTTCTCAAACACCTTTCCGCTCTGTGAACAGTATGCGCTGCCTCATCTCCGGAAGACAAACGGGAACATCATCAACATCTCCAGCATTGCCAATATTGTCGCAGCTAGAGACTCCATCGCTTATGTCACATCTAAGGTAATCCAGGGCACTGAAACATGGTATTAGGGGGTCTTTCTGTCCCCTTCTCTGAGTTTAAAAGTGCAGTTGCCAATACTTTTAGAACCTTCTGCTCCTGTGCCTTTAGTAGCAAACAACGATTCTTTCATACTAATGATTTATGTATATTAAGTTACACTTAAGGATCAAAAGAACAGGTCTTTCCCCCTAGTGATCTTCTAAATGCTTCCATTTAGAAGCCCGGAGAGTGCTTGTAGCGCTATGGGGCAGTATATAAGTCCAATAAATAAATAAATAAATAAATAAATACATTGTGCCTTTTTGTGTTTGTTGTTAAGATCTATGGCCGAGATTATTCAGCTAATTGCTAAAAGATGCAATGGTAAATAAGCCTTGATCTCTGAGGCCTTTTTAATTGTTTGTGAAATAGTGACAAATCGGAAGTTTGACACAACTGAGTGAAGCCAGTTGGGTGGTTGCTGTCCAGGTTTTAGTCATTCGTTCCTTCCTTCCTTTATTTTTTTAAATTTATACTCCACTGTTGTCCAAGTAAAGGGAGCCCAGGAGCTATTTACAGTGATAAACGTTGTCAAAGTAGGGGGAAGAGATTGAAAAACAATGACTGTTGTTACAGTGAGCATTAAAAAAGTATGTAAAATTGACCCCTGCTTCTGTGCTACTGATTAGAAGTCTTGTCTACAGATGAGGGGAAATGGAAGCGTTGTTTTCTGTGAGATGCCTGTCCCAGTGATTTTCGGTACCACAAAACACAGGTGGGAAGAGTCATCGTTTTAGACTATGGTCCCCAGGAATACTGGAGTCAGTTTAGCCCCAGAGCAAAAGGGGAGCCAAGTGTTGTTATGTAAATGGCCTCGGAGTTTCCCTCACCCACAATTCCTATAACTTGCAGGGTGGTGTAACTGCCATGACAAAAGCGATGGCCCTCGATGAGAGCAAATGCGGAGTTCGAGTCAACTGGTAATGTTGCTGATGCTATTAATACTATGTGTAGTACCTTCCTCATAGACTACATCTCTGGGGTCAGCTGACATTTTAGGACTCCAGAATACAATAAAATAAAATCCTCAACAAAACCTGTTCATTTTGAAAAACATATGCCGCGGGGCAAATAGATCTGCTTGCTCTTTCCTGATGCCCCCCTTCTATTAAAAATCCCAATAATTTGAATTCCAGCATCTCACCTGGTAATATCTGGACTCCCATGTGGCAGAGGTTGGCAAGTGAGTCGGCTGATCCAGAGGCATTTATCCAGCGAGGCTGTGATGAATCGGTAAGTGTTGTGGTACAATGGGTATGGCCCTGTTGGATAAGGAGGGCTGCATTTACACCACCCCCGTAAACACTGCTATGATCTGCATGATCAAAAATCTATTAGATTCAACAATCTCTAGATAGTATGCAAATCTAATCAGATTTGTGGATACCAGCCATTTTTACATATACTCTTATGTTTACTCATGGAGAAAATAAAAGTATTGTACAGTGGTGCCTCGCTTAGCAATCGCTCCGTTGAGCGATGAATTCGCATAGCGAGGGGGTCCTGGCCATCGCTGGAGCGTTCGCTCAGCGATGGCCCCTATGGCGTTTTTTCGCTGTGTGACGATCGCTAAGCGATTTGCTTAGCAATTTTCGCACAACGAAGCGGGGGAAAACAGCTGATCGGCAGTTCCAAAATGGCCGCTGCAACTTTTCCCGCCGCGCCCTCGCTTTGCGAGGGCCCGAAAATGGCTGCCCCTATGGAGAAGCTTCGCTCAACGGTAAGTTTAGGGCCCATTGGAACACATTAAACCAAGTTTAATGCGTTTTAATGGG